CAGGTCCAAACATAAACTCATTAACATGGTCTGAGTCTAAGTGCTTATGCATAGTGATACATGAGGCCCTAAGAGTATGAATTTGTATATCTATTAGATATCTCGAAATCTCCGTGTACATAAACATGCTTGCAGAGAAACACCTACATTTCCATACCTATAAGTATACACAACACAAATAAGTGCATACCACACACACATATCCACACACCGACCCACGCACACAGACACAGACACACACACAGAACACGAAACACATATATATGCACACCCATCTTCTGGATCATATATTATGTTAGCTTCCCACACTGTTGGAAGACAGTGTAGCATAGTGGCTTGATGTGCAGCACGCAGGTGGTTAGCGGTTCGACCCAGCGCGTTGCTCACCAAGCCCACCATCCTTCCGGGATTGGAAAATTAGTACCAGACCTCCCTGGGAGGATAGTAGCTCTGTGTCTATGCGTCAGCAGGGCAGTACAAGTCACTGTATAAGCCAAATGTGCATTAAATCACCTCTAAGAATGATTAATAATGTCGGATCCATGGCGCATTCCTCAAGGATTGCTCGACGCCGAACGCTCTGTCTTTCTAATTTGTCAGATATTTTTATTAAAAGAGTTCGCAAAATTCTTATTGATTACTCAATTTTATGCGCATTTTACACTCATAGTCACGGTCGTTGACTTTCTATTGGTTAATAGCAAGAAAAGAGTCACTAGTTGCAGTCTGTTGCAAGATCTACCAAGAATTGAATTTAGTGCTAAACCAAAGCTTCAGTTATACGTAGCTTATTGAAGCAAGCAGAAATCAATGTTTCATCGTGCCACTCGCACTACCGTGAAGCACTAATGGGCCAAACGCTTGAGTGGTGTGAGACACAACACGAAGCAACAATATACTCTTAAAGTCGACAAGCTCTTAGAGCAGAGAAATCTTCTGAAATAAATTTTCGCTTTGTAAACGGGTTACCACTCCCACTGTGACTTGAGGGTCCTCCCAAGTGTCAAAAGTGTGCGATGTATACATTACGGGTTAATCTCCTAGCAAGGTTACATAAGTTAAGAGAGGGCCCCATTTATTTGTTGGAAGGCTTTGGTGAAGGTGTGGGTCTACCGCCGCTAAGCTAAGAACAGAACAATAGAGGGTCACCATCACAAAATTGACGCTTTTCATCTTCGTTGGGTAATCGAAATCCAGAGAAGAGCAACTGAAAGCCTCAGCTTAACTGTGTTCATTGCCGATTTGGGCTTTCCAGATCAATCCCGCCGACGGATGACTACTGATGGCAGAGGTCGATAGAACTAGCTGTGAGACTGGTGAAACGAAGGGTCCGCATGGTGTGGTGGTGAGCGCGTTACTCCCTGGAAAGGACAATAACGCGTTCGTTCCCCACCGCAGACAGCCCGTGGTCCGGGTTTTTGCAAATATTTCAGCATCATTGAAGTTATATTTCGCAATATACCCTGCCATTAAAAAGAGTAAGCAGTAAATAAAACGGTTAAGATTGCATATATAGTATTCGACCTTACACTTCGACAAGCCGGACAACGGGTACGAAAAACCCATGAACTCTGTTTGAATGGAGTCAAATTAGAAGGCCTCAAAGGTTGAGAAATTCTCAGGGGAGATCCACACATTGCTTGTCCTCGTTGTCTTCACCTGTTGTTAATCGAAAAATGGAATTCCATTGAAGCAACAATTAGCACAGTGGTAATTAACTAACCATCTGTCCCTTTTATTCGAATGTCAAGTACAAAATGATATTTAGTCTACCTTTCTTTCACTTATGATGAGTGTTCTACGAAGACGGAAAGCTCAGGGATCAAGAGTTTGATTGAGCAACCAATAAATTGCGCTGTTTTTTGTGAGTTGAACGAAAAAATCCCTAGCTAGGATAAAGCCACTAATCACAAGCATTGTCATCACTTCACGAAGAAAGGACTTTTTCGGAATGATATCAGTCTGTTGAATTACCTTCAAAACATTGCTAGGATGAACACTGAATAGTGACAATTAAGAGAAAAGTCGTTAATCAGGATGGAAAACGGACTCATAGTTGATATTTTTCTCCACTGAGACTTAATGGTATCCCTTAGTAAATGCCATAACCTTGAGAGGATTTCAATCTGAGCGAGTGATTAACACCATAACTAGACAGGATTCATGAAGGACACTCGCACCTCACTGTTTAGAGCTAACCATATGTAGCTGATGAAGGAGGACATGCGGTGTCGCCATCTATGCCACAATAAGAAACTAAAGCAACTTTCTTTGCTATCGTTCAGACTGGGACATTCAGTTTCAAGAAAAGCTACTGTATAGCGAATTAAAGGGAAGCACCGTAGTACCAACGATGCTGTTGCTTGCCACTGAATACAATTTTAGTTTTCCGAACTTATTTTTCTCCTAATAATTGGTATATAACAATTCTTAATAGTTAATTTGAAATACTCTTGAACCAAGTTTGATGGCCTCAAGTCATGAAAATCGTATCGTTGTGATCTACAAGTTCAAACTTGGAAATAATGTAACGATAGCCGGTTGATATGTCGTTAGAGCAAGAGCCTGCTAAGGGCTTCCGAATGCACCACAGTGTGCGGATTGTTCATAAAGTTTCGTAGAAACTAAGATCGACCATTTCAAGGCGATAATTGCAGTTGCTAGTCCAAAAACTACTTGGTGTGTTCCGGAATGACTCAACACTTGTGATCAACAATCCTTTGTTTTCACAATACTAACCTTTTATTTGCTGTCTACCACAATCTTTCACGGCAGGGTCTGTTAAATACAACTAAAACGATGCTGAGATATTCGCAAAACTTGGACCCCAGGCCAGATCGAACCACGATTACCGTTTCCGGAGACTCGCGTGCTAATCGTTTGTTAATTTAAGGTGTTTTCAAAAATTAAAAAAGCTTGGTTAATGTGTGCTACACGAATTGGGGATTCTTTTACGCAACGAAAAGGAAGAAAAAATTTCTTGATCGAACTATGGTGTGTGATTAAAACCACATTCTAAAGAACAACTGATGATGCTTTACTCGGTTACTAGATAGTAAAGCTCGTAAACAGCTCCATAGCCGGATTCGCATCAAAAAATGGTGACGATGTGGTCTTTTCATTTTCGGTGGAAGCAATCGGGTAATACGCTAATTTCAGTCCTGGCGAAACTATCGCAGCAAAAACGGTCATACGAACACACTATACCACATTTAGCTACATATAGCCAAATGTCTGAATCCAGTGGTACGCCAACGCACAAGCGCACAAGCGCACGTTGCACAGCCGACGTTGCAGAAATTGGACGGACGGGTTGGACTACGAAACGATGCTTTTATGCACCAGACTCAAGAGACCTCTTGCCAACCTACTGCTAATTAACGTTAAACAGATGATAGAGAGGAACGCAGGGAGACTGGTGATGATCAGCTTGAAGTTTTAAACCTTAGGCAAGCACGTTATTTTAGTTCCGAAAGAATTCGAAGCGTGAGAACTTTTCGTTTAGACTTGTGTATAGACAAGCATAGTCTACTCTATGTCGATTTAATCGGTTTAGCTATCTTTTTAAAAAGATACCGCTAGAAAGGAGCTTCACTGTGAGCCTCACCATCGGCCAAGGCCGTAGTGTCGTTACATAGGCGCCTATCGGCCCCCTTTTGAAAACCTTTCAAGAAGCAGCTTCTCTCCGAGCCCTGGTTGCCGCTGTCGCAATCGAATGCTGTGACTAACCGTTAACAATATCACGAAGTTACTATCTTCTTGATGAACCACATCATACCGTGCTATATCACAAACGCGAAGTTTAAAAACCTAAAAGACCAAAAACACCAAAAATTGTTCCATCATTTATTTGTACTTTTTTTTACTTTTTTTTACTTTTTTTTTACTTTTTTAAATTTTTTTTAGAAATAACAATTTGCACATGAAATACCATGTGCAAATTGTTATTTCTCTACGTCTTAGCTCGACCTCCACCAAGTAGTGCCACTCACCTTGATTGAGAATCCCACAAAATCATAGCAATCGCAGTGCTCCTGTTCATATACCATTTTAAAGAATTGCAATTTTTTTGTTGTTGCCCACAGAGGAAAGTATAAATACGTTCATCTAGTGATTTTGTAGTCATTGTAAATATTTCATGAAGTGGGCGATTTGACTGAAAATTATGAGCAGCCATTCTCTGAATCGCAGTTTGAATCAAAAAAAGATCAGACCGCCATGATGGCAATCAATTTTTCTTGGGAGACAGAGCAATTTAAGCCATGTCTAAACGGAGCATGTAATAATTGAGAGTTGGATCAACATCGTTACTGATCAGAGTCGATTTTATGAGATGTATGCTCGTTGCCTTAAATACAGCAATCCAATGAATCACCAGATTCTCACAACACCGTGCATCAGATTCGACCTCGACGAGGGCATGTGAGCCATTCCTGCCTCATTTGGCTGGGCACTTATTCATATATTGTGGCAGCTGACCATGTTCTTCAAAGTTGAGAAGATCGAATATAAACTCAATTAGGTTTCTCTGAGCAGCTGCTACTTTGCGGAAGCTGTACCAACACGCGATTTCATCGTAAACGGAATTCCGATCGCTTAGTGAGCGTTTCGGATATTCTGCGCAGCATTTTCACTCAGAAACACAAATTGTATTTGAATACCTCGCTAAGCAAATATGTTTATTTGGAAGCTCTTCGAGCAATTCACATATCAGGTCATTAAAAAGACTTATATTCATATTATTGACCAATATCGATCTTGCCTTGCAATAGTTTCTCCGGCTGTCGATTTTACTGTGCGGCAGCAGTAGCAGCCGTTTCGTAGCAAAAGTTGTAATGCTAACCAAGAACTATACATTAAAATAAGGAAAAAAACAATAACAATTGAAGACAGAGTACGCATGACAAATTTTAGCTTTTTTAATGCAAATATTATCCTGATAGTTTTCGGCAAGATTGTATAACTCCTCAAGCAAGAGAAATATGCATAGAAATTCTCTTCTAACTGGTCGATTGTCTAAAAATGTATTTGCTCACGCAATGTGAGTCGGAAAAATTCAGAAAGTACAGTCGTATGTGGGATGCTTGGACTATTCGAAAGAAGGCGTATCGATTGTTATGAAGCATTGTGAAGATGAACTCGCGAAACATTTCCTTTTTAGGATCGTCCGGACTGTGCACCTGTAAAAAACAAACGAGAATGCCGGTAAAGGCTAACCTAGAACAAAAGTAGTTTATGTTTCGAGAAACTAATTTTGTCTTTCGAGCTCAATTACAAATTTCTTAATAGAATAAGCATGAAGTTTTGAAGAAGGAAAGGGAAAGAGCGAGGAAAAGAAAATTTGTCTACAAGAGAAGGATTTTGCAGACGACCTAGTGTAAGCTTAAGGAAACCACAAAATATTGACTATTTACGGCGAGTTCGAACAGAAGCCGCTATTAAAAATGGTTTTATAGCTTACACACTAGTTATTCGCGCGAAACTCAGCTAGTATAATAGTTGTCGAGATGATTGTGAAAAGTGATAGTCGGTTAGCAGAAGGCACAATGAGTAGAAGCGATGAAGTAGAATTTCATAGCACAGCTCAGACTTATGCAGCATTAGTTGTGCGACCTGTGGTTGGACGTCATTGCACAAAAGAATCCAGTTGACATATGGTGAGCCCTAAATGTTCCAGCACCTGGTGTATTTTTTCGATTTGTAGACAACTACCATCCTAAGTTTGATTGCTTGAAGAAGATTCATAAACTTGTAGAAGTTTATTCCACACATAGAACTCTAAAAGGTAACCATGAATTCCGGGGCAAATGCAGCTTCAAAAAAAGTGTTAGGGCGCTTCATCTCGATTTGTGTATGCACTTTGTGACATGAATTCCATCGGTTCTTTCAAGCATTTCACATCGCTCGTCAGCGTTGGGGTCTAGAAGCAGTTTTTGTGGCACAAAAATAGTTCAAAAAAGACTTCAAGACAGCCATAACGAAATGCTTTCGGAATACTTACTGCTTCGGGAAACTTACTGCTTCCTGCTTCAGAATACCACTCTATTCAAATAAATAAGTTTAATTCATGTTGAGAGAAAAGCGTGTATTCTAATGGCTTTGTTCAAGTTAATAAAATTGTACTTATGCCTAGTTAGAAAAAAGGATAAAGTTCTCGGCGTTGATCAATCCCTGAGGGATGCGCCATGCATTCGTCTTCATTAAGCGCCTGTGCTGCTATCTTCCTAGACAAGTCTGGTATCAATTTACCAACCCCGTAGGGAAGGAGGACTTGGTGGGCCATGGGCGCAGGGATCAATTTCACGTGTGTGTCGCAGGGCGCCTCCGACCACTGCGTCACACGCTTCTTATGCCTAGTTAAAATGATTTAAACGATGGTGAAAGGACTTCAGTGAAACCCGCACATTTGTTTTATTCATTAAAAAGGTATTGGCTACCAAGTGAGAACTCAATAGACATCTGCTATTTGTTTCTTATTGTGTTATACTAGCGTTGCCTAACAAGGTCTAATAGCTTAACAAAAACAGAAAAGCACATACTTTCCATCCGACACTAACTGCTCGATCATTCCCACCAATGAACCCAAGTTAGCTATATGGGTTCCAACTGGAGAATAATGTGATGACTGTGTTAGAGCGTTTGAAAAACGAGCGTTGATATCGTTTGGAATAAAAGTAGATATAACAATATGATCCAGACTAGGGCCCGTCTGGCGCAGTGGTCGGAGGGGCCCTGTAACACACACGTGAAATCGATCCCCGCGCCCATGGCCCACCAAACCTTCCATCCCTCCAGGGTCGGCAAATTGGTACCAGACTTATCTGGAAGGATAGCGGCACTGGCTCGATACACTGGTAGGCCACCGCGAGTCATCGTAAAGGCCAGATTCAGTTACCTCCAAACGATGCTTAATGAAGTCGAATGCTTGGCTCATCCCTCAGCTATTGATCAACGCCGAGAGCTCATCCTTCTTATGATGAAGTAGCATTAAAACGCGACAGGAAAAAAGACGCAATTTAAGAAAATATTATGCTCTATGGTGAGTATGTCAGAATTACGGGGTCATAGAAGATAGTAAGCAGTAACTCATAAACAGACATGTACGACAAATATGAACATTGATCCTTTTTTAACGCGCAATTTGCATGAAGTAAAATTGCAAGATGACAGGAATGAAGTCAGGTAGGCATGAGTACCATCGCAGGCAGAGCGCATCCCGTAGTTCACTACTATTTCATCGAATATGGATAGGGCAAAGCATCGTGGTCCATGTGCATAGGATAAAGACTAGGCAGATTCAACAAAGGAACAACAGAGAGGATTCCGATGGAAGTCGCACATTCGCTTCGAGTTGCTGTTCATCCATCTAGTGATTCCAACGAATTGCGTTGGACTTTAAGTAGATCCATTTTACAATGGAAAAATGTAAATCCTTTAATTACTTTTTTAAAGACTTTACAGATGAAAGCACGGTGTCGTTGCAGGAATCTTGTTAATACGAGGCAAGTGGAAGCATTTCTAGCATCAGCAAAAGGTTCGAGTAGAAGCCATTGTTAACAAAAAAATGCTACTCATTTTATTGTCAAACTAGTATTTTCAGGCCAACCTCAATATTAAATTGACACACTGTGATTCCGTTACGATCGAGTTCGCCACCACGGTAAAAGTACGGAAATAGTTCATATTCAGCTCCTTCGGCGTCGATCCAGATGTCATCATACACCTGGGGAAATGTGGCCAACACTTATTCCTCTACGATCCATTCAGAGGAACGAAAGATTCACCTTATGTCTAAGTAGCGACAGAAAATGCACAAATTCTATATGTACCACATCACGATCAACGTAAGAACCTGGAACAGAATGGTGAGAAATGGAAAGTCAATTTATAGTAAGATATCATTTTCATTGCATTAAAAAGATGTGGCGAAATGCCAAAAGAAGATGAAGTTGATTGGTAAAAAAAAACTGAATACCAGGTAAACACAGAAAAGCGAAAGAGAACATTGAGGAGGTCAGAATGTAAGGGCACATTTACCATTCGCAAGCACACTGGCACGGGAAACCTCTGACTTGCCACCAACTGCAAATGGGAAGAATTTTCCGAATTTCATGTAGAGCTCTTCATTTATTTCATGAATGGGATCTGCCCCATAGAATTTTGAATCCATCGGCAAGACCTTAAGAAGAAAAGCAGAACTCTCGCTATGATACCATCAAGTTGCAACTGTACCTTAAGCAGCGCCTCTTCAGCTGCGGTATCATGCCCGATACCAAGGGTGACAATTATGCTAGGTTCATTCTGAAAGTTGACATATTTTCGCACATGAATACTAATAACACTCCTTATGGAAATCGCTCTTTAATGAAGAACTCTTCACTTGTTCGCAAGCCTCCAGTCAGAAACACAGATCTATTATGTGGACTGAGTAAGGAAGCCCTGGTTATCGAAAATTTCTACAGATGTTTCGTTTTCGAATGAAACGAAGATTGTCGCGCCAAAAAAAACAAGTCTCACCTCATCTCGCAACTCTACGTGCTCCTTATATCTGTTTTTCGTTAATGTTCTTTTAACAATGTTGTGTTCGTAAAGCCTCGCCACTTTTCTGATGAAAACTGGCCTTAGGACCTTCATTGCCGAATCAAGCCAAATCGAAAAGGTTTCTGTGAGATTTTATTCAAACTCTATACTCCTGCAGACTTTCAAAGGCAAATAGAGGAATAAATGCTTTCTTTTTAGGAACGTATATGCTAGGGTGTGACCCGATGAGATCGGGCAAGAAGAAGTAAGCAAATTTCCTACTGTTCCTACTGAACGAATTACTGCTTCATTCAGAAGTCTGACGGTAATGGTCTCTATCTTTAAAACGACGTAATCAAGGCGAACATTGTCATTGTCTACTTTTTTTATATGATCTGTCTTCGAGTCTACGGGGCGGATCCCAGCACTTCTCACATTCGATTCGTTTCCTCGCATCCATTGTCGACGAAGATCTTCTAACTGTACATTGGCTTCGATTGCTGCTTGAGGATTTTCATTTCAGCTTAAATGCCCTAAAATGGTGGTCGAGTAATTCTTCTTGGAGTCCCGAGATAGCCGGGCTGGACCGCTTCCAAGTGGATTGCAGAAAGAGAGAGTTTTTTCCAGACAATTCCGGTACCGATTTCTCGACCTCGGAGGGATGAAGGGCTTGGTTGGCCCGGAGCGGAATCGAACTGGCACCATGCTCGTGATGATGGACGTCACTAGCACTGTGCTGTCCGCCTCCTATTGTCTACTTTACCATTGCCTAATCAGGTCCTATTATCGCTTTTCTTTAGAAATGCTTTTTATTGTTTCTTTGCAAGGGTATTCCGTTCTGTGGTTAGTACCGCCGACGTTTGCCTATTGGATGAGCGTATTTCATGCTTTATTGTTATCATCGGTGACGAAATCTTCTCAAATCCTAGCTAAAAAAGCAAAAAACCCAATTTATTCAAACGGTGGTTGTAAAATTTCATTTCTTGAATTTTGCCTTGATAAAAAGTGTTTTCTGGTTTCCACTGAAAATTCATTTTATCATTTTTATCGCAACCCTATGATGGTTGTTTCTGAGCCAATAAGCTCCGAGAGTGATGCGAAAGTGTCGTGACCGTGGCCTCGCTTAAGATCAAAGTGCATAAAAATCTTCCTGTTTCTAGAGATCACTGCAAAATGAAGATTTATTTAGACGCATTTTGGTACGATCGAGAATATTTAGGTTAAGCAGAGTGACTAGCACAATTAAAGTTGAAATAGTGGCAAACCTGTAAAGAGGGGATATGTCTTTTCGCTTCGTCCGAGTTGCTAAAACTTTCGATCGCCAGGGCATCCATGAAAGGAAGCTTCTCGCAATGCCGAACCCCTTTCCAGAGATGAGACCACAACTGACAATATCACTTTGTCGTTATTTCTGGGAAAATATCATTCCTTCGTTCACGGATAAACTAACTCCTCTGACGTCGTATTCATAAATAGAGATGTTATTCATTATGCAGTTCTTCCACTCACTAAACTGTTTCTCCACACGCTCATCAGGAGAAGGCAAGTTCGTCTGAAAAAAAGCGTTATGTGGATGATGTGAAGTGGAATATAACTTAAAAGATAAGTGAGCGGTAGATTTTCGTGCCATTAGAGAGTGTGAAAACACAGTCATGCTTGCGAACCTGTGAAGAATAACACGTTGTGTAGTTGTTGAAGAAAATAAGGTAGACAATTAACAACAACGACAGCGATAGAAGGAGAAGTTTTACGTGTCGCATTGTCCTGAACAGTAAACAGTGGAAAGACTTTTGCATTGGCGAGCAATTTTCGGTCGAATTATTAGTGTCAGCAACAGAACTGGGATAAAGAAAGACGTGACCTTAGCAGTTCAGTAATCCCAGCCTATTGTTTAGGAAACTATTTAGAATGAAAGCCTAGAGCATTTTAAGTCTTTCGTATAAACAATACACTATGTCTGAAGCCCTAACGGAGACGAGGTTCTTTGTGTAAGAAAAAATTCAACGATAGACTTTATACCAATTGCTTATTGGAGATCAGGCTTAACAGCACCTCTAAAACTTTTAAATGGCGATTTTTGAAGTGTAAGAACAACGAATAGAAAATAAAGATAGATGCAAGGTGAAGAAATGATCGTCGGTAATCGGCGGTCTTCACTTGGAGGTGTCCTGAGTGGCTGCACGTGAGTACTGTTTGGTTCGATTCCGCCTCTGCGGAAAACAAATCATTCTAGAATCGGTGTTGTAACCAGATCTGTCTAAAAGGGTAAAGGGATTAACTTGATTCATCGGTGGCCAATCTAAAGCCATTGTATTGGCTAAAAATGCATTCAATCACTGCTAAAGATGCTTCATGAAGTCGAAGGCATGTCGCAACGCTCGATATTGGTAGACGCATAGAGCTTTCATTCCTATTATTTATATTCCATGCTATAATATCCCAACTCGAGATTTAGGTAAAGATAAGTGACTTAACGAAGTTCACAAAGAAGGCCAAATCTTCTCAAATAGTAATCAAACCCATGTGAAAACTTGAAGAATTTCTCGCGGTAATTCACGTGGAGACGTCCCAGTACGGTAACCAACCCCAAAGCTCCATGGAAAATCGACCAGGGTCCGGCAAGATTCATAATTAAAACTAGGATCTTCAAGCACCAGCAGAATCCATGTGCGTGGCGTTCGAAAACCTTCATAGATGATGGATGTGAGGGAACGAATCGAATGGAAGGACCCGCACAGCATTTGTGAATACGGGTATTGTGGAATAAATACTGTACCACAACAACGTCGAAAAGTTTGTGGTAACCTCCTACGAAAAACGTCGGTTTTGCTAGAAAAAAAATGGAAAAAAGTGTCTCATTGCTCTGGACCTAAAGTAAATTCCAATTCAAGAGAAAGATGGAGAAATTGATAAAATTTGTGGAGCACGAAAAGTTAAGAAAAGAAGGCATGAGTGGCACTTCACGGACGAGGTAAAATCCTATAAGGATAGATCACAGTTTCTATATCATCATCATAACCTACAGAGAACAAAGGATTTTTTACCAGCATTGGAAAGAACGGGTTGAGAGGTCGCTTAGATTTATACTGTCTATACAAATCAACAACAGTAATACGCAAAACCAGCTTCACATGGTTGAAGATTAGAGTCTCCCTCCTATGAAGAGTGCTGTAAAAACATCACCAGTCGAACCTTTCATTAACTGGTGTTACTATTATTCCAAAGTTTTACACAATTGGTTCATTGCCTCATAGGCAGAGGATTTAATCTTGTCTCCAAAAGTGCAAAAAACCATGAGGTCTTAAAGGCTAAATGCTAACGCCATCGCACATTGGGACTTGACAGTGCTTGACTTGCTTGCTAGAAAGCCGTCCATAGTAACTATTTCGCCGAATAGTTACATTTCCATACAAGTGCACGATACCTATGCTCTCTAGTAGTGTTTACTATTAACGATATTTAATCACGCCCTACATGTAATGCTTTGTTTTGCACACTCTCATCTCGACCTAGCACTCCACCCATCTTCGTGCTGTCTCTGCTCCTCTTCTTCGCTGTTGGTGATCCTCCACTTCGCTGTTGGTGATCCTCCACCAGTTTGAAGTCTCGTGGGCTCCACCTGTCCGTATTTACGATACTCCATTCCACTTCTGCTCGACCATAGTTCGTTGCCAACAAGGTCTAGTATCATTATTTTTCAATCATATCACTTCAGCATTATTATATAAGGTATCTTATAATGTCTAGTGTGCTGCTTTCTAAGCTATCTCTGCTCGCTGGTTACATTGTCATTCGTATTTTTTTACATTTAATGTCTTGTTATTGCCCCATTTTGCTGCTGACATTATTATTATATTACTATAATGCTGAGATATTTGCAAAACTCCGAACCGCAGGTGTCTGCGGTGGGGAACGAACGCGCTATTGTCCTTTCCAGAGAGTAACGCGTTCACCACCACACCATGCGGGTCCTTCGTTTCGCCTGTCTCTCAGCTAAAAAAGATCGATAGAACTAGCTGAGAGACAGGCGAAACAAAGGACCCGCATGATGTGGTGGTGAACGCATTACTCCCCGGAAAGGAAAATAGCGCGTTCGTTCCCCACCGCAGACACCTGCGGTGTGGAGTTTTGCAAATATCTCAGCATTACAATAGTTATATTTCGTAAAATACCCTGCCGTTAAAAAGAATAGGCAGTAAATAAAAAGGTTAATGTTATTATTATATTGTTAGCCGATTTATGCCTCTCTATTGGTGAGCAATCTCTTAAGTTTCGTAGATGGAACGGCTTTCGAAAACTGAATTATGCATTTCGGCCAATCATTATGTGTGCCTACTGTATTTCAGCGAATGATACGGTGGAATTTCGAGGTGGATAAAATACCGGCCTATTCTATACTGCATAACACAGCGCTAGGAGAACCGCGGATGAGAAGTGATGGGCACATTCTCAGGTCTGTTAATTGGTTGGTGGCTTTTCTATAATAAAAGCCCAAATGTAGCGCACTCTACTGTCATTTTTTGCGTAGTTGTTTAGTTGTCTTTACGTTCACTGCACACTGCAGCCTTACTTGAAAGGTGATCTCTCTGCTGTTCGCGCCATGGTGTTCTAAGAACTTACGTCCATTCCTAGCCTTTTCCCTCTTTATTTAGCACCATTTCTGCCTTACTGTTACTATCCGAAAAAACTACACCTTCCGCAAATTTCTTACCAAGTATACCTTTTCATTCTTTATCCAGCGATGTATACTTAGTTGACCATTGATTGACCATCAGTTTTTTCACCCGCGCATCATCGTGATTTGCTATCAAGTGCGTATGCTCATCTCGGAGCATTAAAGTAACTTCATTGTCCACTGCAATATACTGTAAACAGCTTCGGCGAAGTATTGTTGCCTTATCGAACTCCTTTCCCATAAGAGATGATAAGGAATCGACCGAAAACCCTGTTTTTGCTGTGAAATTACGATAACGGTGAGCTAGACTTGTTAGGAGGGGTCTACTCCTTGGTCAGTAAGTAGTGAAAAGATTGTATTGCTTTAAATGGAGTTATGGGTTTCCTCGTAGTAAACAAAGGTTAGGACAAGGGAGAAAAATGATATTTCCTATCTATGGACACGGTCTGGGTGTAGTAGGAAATCCCTTCTGGAATCCTGCTTGTTCAAATGGTTATGCGTTCTCCAATGTTTTTGATATCCGCGGCTGGGCAATTTTCGCAGTGCTGGTCACACATAAAATAGATTCCCTAAGAGTGCGCTGTTCTTATACGTTATCAGGAAATAGAGAATCGTAGAGAATTTTGACTATTTTCAAGCTCCAAGGTGGATGCTTAGAGTCTTTCAATAACGTCAAACAAAAGTTTACATGAAAATCTTATTTGACAGCACAAAGACAATTCAAAGACGTAGTAATTCCCATGACCGACTTTCTGTTAACCTCGGCATTAATTGATAATTCTCTTGAAGCGTTTTGGATCAATGCCAAAAATTCAAAAATGAACCGCAAGGAGGAGTGTCTTGTCATCACGCGTGACCTAGCGCCATACCTCAGGCTGATCCAATGATCTGACATGGACCCAGTTATCGACCATGTATTACTCTGTGCGGCGGCTATCCACCAACTAACTTAAATACTTACGACAAATAAACGGTAGGTGTTTGAATGAAGCTGTTTCTTATGCGAATACAAATCGATTTATCAAGTTTTATCTGCTAGGGTTATGAAAGTGTTTGGCTGAGTAGATCGCATCTCAATTTGACCTTTCCAGGCTCTGAAGAAGGCGAAACCGCCGAAACGTCAGCAATTGTGTTCTAATAAATTCTATATTAACAACCTCGTGTCTGCTTATTGATGAAAAACATTGAATTCAAAGACGGTTTTTCAATTGATCTCGAGTGTGGTATTTGGGTGGTCTTCGAACTTTTTGTTGGGCTTGGATCCGGCGGGTGGTTAAGGATTTTCGTCTAGTTTAAGAATATCATTAAATGCTGATTGAATCGATTCTCACAACTAACTTGGAATATTCATTCTGAGGCGTTACCACATGGATTAGAGGGAGTGAGTCTATTCCGGTGATGTCCGGTAGCAATTTCCCGCTTCCGGAAGCATAAGAGGCCTTGCACACTCGGAGCAGAGTCGAACCAGGAAGAAGTAAAAAACTAGACTCAGCTTAGTTTAATTTGTCCTCATTATCCGGTAATTATTCGAAGTTCTAATGAGAAGTTGATAGAAAATTCAAGCCTTAATCTGTTTAAAAACGCTCACCGTTTTCAATTTCCAGCAAGTAAGACCAAACGTATGTTGTACACATGGAATGATGAATAATACTCAGACATATCAAAAATTAGTTCATGATAAGGCTCAAAATCCCGTGTAATAGTGGGATATTCCTCCTCACGATTCGTTTCTAGTTCGTCGAAATTGGGATACTGTATTCTGAGCAACGACTGGCTCAGCTGGCTTTGCGTATTGGAATTTTGAAGTCAAACTTCTTCTCTGCATGGAAAGCGCAGTCTTCGGAGGCTACCACGTTCATTTCTTAGTGGGTTGATAACCAGTAACACTCTCAGGTTATGATGAAGCGAAAAATCATTGAAGAAGGTTGTACTATAGCATTTTACAGAGTCAGTTT